ACCTGTGGTCTCTCTGTAAGGAAGTCCATTATCCAGTTACAGGTGGGTGATGCTACTCCCAGGTCTGCCAGCTTAGCAATCAGCTTCATTGGCTTGATTGCATGAAAAGCTGAACTGTAATCTTTGAAGAGCATGTGCACATATGTTCCGTTTGTGTCCAAGTGTTGCAGTGTGTAATGAAGCACCAGAGCCACTGCATCATCCACTGATCTGTTTGGGCGGTAGGCAAACTGCAGAGGGTCAGCTGTGTCTGCGATGACAGAGTTTATAGAACTTAGCACCAGTTTTTCCAGGCACTTCATGGCAACTGAAGTGAGAGCCACCGGCCTGAAGTCATTCATTGTGGTGACGGAAAGCAATAAAGGGAAAGCAAATTAGCAAGACAAGGGAAAACCAGAGTAACAACCTAAATTCACTTTGAGACTGTTCATGTAGATGACAACACGTACACACTCCCTCCCAGCACACCTAAACCAAACATTCAAGAACACCAAATAGCTGGAGTGTGTTGGGAACTGAGAGGGGGCACAAATGTGGACTGCATTCAGAATATTTCACTTTGTAACACTGTCTACCATAACCCTGTACTGGATAACAGGTTGGGAGGATGTTTTATATTCCTTTAAAAAGAGGCAGAATCGACATAAATGCTATCTTGACTGAATAGTCAATGAATCCCTTGGAGGAAACTGACTCTGCTCATTAGCAAAGAAAAATAATCAAACGTCAAACCTATCAAAATGCAGCACAAACACTGACAATGAGAAATGCAGTCACTGATTTTATAGAAGACACAAACCTATGTGTAAGTCCTGTATTAGATAAAAATACTGGGAAAACTATAAGCTCTAATGACTAATAAACAGTACAGAAATATAACCCCCCCACACACCTACCCTGAAATAATTCTTTTTTGGAGACATTTCCCATGTTGTCTGCTTGCCATAATTTTCACGTGCTGCTACTTGTTTTACATCCATCACACTCATGAACAAAACGTTGTTCGCGGAACTGCCTAGACAGATGACGGATCAAGAATGAATATTTCAGTAATCTTTATGCTAACGCATTTCTCATGGAATCAGCCATTGTATATGAGGAGCTTCTTGTCAATCATGACTCACCCTGCAAATGGTCCAGAACATGTTCTGCTTTCGTCTGTAGAGGTGAAAGACACTGCATCTACTGGCCCTGGATTCTGAAGGACTAGAAGGAGCTTGATGTGCTAATGATGTTGTGGCTATCAGTGTTTTTAGGGCACGGCAGTGCTGATTTAAATTTTTCTTCTTCAAGAACACAGGTATTTGTTAAAAATGCCGGGAGTAATTGGCCCTGCATGTCCCATACATTTGTATTTTTTAGCTCCAGATCCACCTAGAGCAGTGTTTCCCAAATCCAGTCCTCAGGGTTGCTGGGAGGAGTAAAAATCTGGACCAGGTCTGAATCCACAAGGACCAGACTGGGAAACACTGTCCTAGAGTGATAACAGGAAATTGTGTTTTTAGAAATGCTCACAGCTCACAGATTATCTTGCTCATTTCTTTATCTTCTTGCCACAATGTCATCCGTGTTCATTGAGCCGAGACACACAAAGGCAATTCCTGCCATGCGCTGATTTGTGATTGACGGTTGAAAAACAGTCAATATATTTTTAATATTATGTTCACTGTTGAACAGCCCTCATTGCTTATTAATGAGTGTCAATGTGTTTGTTGCCTTAAGCTATTCATATGATGCTTAATTGATATCTCTGAGCAGAGATCGGATATAACTTTATGAAGGGGGAAACGGTCACCAGAATAAAACAATGAAAAGTGCTACGAAGAACCAATAGAATGTAATACAAGTCTAGAGTTTTGCTGCTTTAAAACAGCAATGTAAACATGGATTTGCTTGGTTTTTTATTTGCTACTTTACTTCCCAAGGCTCTTTGGAGCTACAAGGCTGTGACGTGTGGTGTCAAGCTCAGAAGGATAGGACTTTGAAAGTTGCTGGTTCAAATCTCAGGGTCAGCGGAGAGATTTCACCATTGGGCACTTGACTTGTGACAACCTTATCCCCGAATTGCTCCAAGGAGCTGTTTGACCCTGCTTTCTCAAAAAAATATGCTGCTTCTCATTTGCTAATTCAGCAAATGAGAACCTTCCCACCGATGTTCCATGTGTAATCAGTGGGCTGGTCAGTGTCCACACATGCACCATGAACTGATTGCTGTGCATCCAGAAGAACCCACTGTGATCGTTACGTTATGTCTTCCTGAATCAGCTGGACAGGACAGAAGTCATCAAGAGCAACTTGCATCCTGTGTTCTCGAAGGTCTTCACGCTGGATTATTATTTTGAAGAGGTACAGAAGCTGCGCTTCGAGGTCTATGACATCCATGGCACGCACAGCATCGGCACCCGTGACGACGACTTCTTGGGGGGTGTGGAGTGCACCCTGGGGCAGGTAAGACGGCACCTCAACCCCTCCGCACCTTCCAGTGACATGTCACCAAAATGAATCACACAGTGATGCACAACATTGCAGAAATCATTCCGTCGTAGAACAGCTGCCTTGAGGTAAACACAATAAGAAATAAATTAGTGTAATGAATCACAAAACCTGCTTATTGTTAAATGCACAACTGAATGAATTGTTGTCAAAAATACGCTGTTCTGGAAGTGTTACCAAACCATTACTTGGGACATTGCAATGCAGGAAACTGATGACTGATGTTTGTGGAAAGACTGTGATGAATCCCTCATGTTCCCCAGATTGTGGCCCAGAAGAAGATGGTAAAGCCTCTGTTGCTGAAATACGGGAAGTATGCTGGAAAGTCCACTATCACTGTAGGTTCCCAAACCGGACAGCTGCATCATTGTGGTTTGTCCTTTTGCCTAAATGACCAGCTAGTGGAAATACAGACGCTTGCGAACTTTCAACTTACGTACTTTCAGACATACGAACGAAGAGGACTGTAAGTCCGAATTGTGTTAATTGGGCTCCCGTTTCCTGTCCGCAACATCAGTTTTTTTCTGTGCGCTAATTCCGCCTAGTACGACTTCTGGCCGCTACTCCCACCGCACAGCAGCGTAGCGTGCGTACTCCCAGCATCCTAGTTCTTTGTACTTGCGTATACCTTTAAAATGATGTTGAATAATGACTTACGAACATTTCAAGTTACGAATGTATCTCATTCGTAAGTAGAGGAACATCTGTATGTGGTCACTTGATGCAACAAATCAGAATTAAGATGCTGAATTGAGAGGATGGCTTGAGAAAGGAGAGGAGTACCAGAACACGACTGTGTGCGAACTCCTGCCCATAGGTGGCGTACAGCTTCTAAGCAGTATTCTGATGGGAATAACCCAGGGGAAGCCTGTGCTCTCAGCCTGAAGCATGGATGTGAAAGAGCTTGTTAATGTAGCTGTAGAAAAGGTGTGTGGAGGTGGACTGAAACCACAAAGGTTACCTGTCAGAGCACAGGAACAGCCGGTGGAGTGCAGGTGGTCGGGGGGGGGGGTGAAACAGAATTACAGGGGCAGAGTGGTGGGGGAGTGTGTCACATCAAGGGACTTTCTTGGGGGGTGAAGTGTCAGACTACCCATGTAGCTGTCTGGACTTGTTGTGTAGTACAGTTCAAGGTCACCGCCACTGTGGTTTTCTAAAAATGCTAATATATGGTAGTGTGTTTAACTTATTTTGTTAAAGTATAAACATTTCAGACTCATATTTTAACAAACCCCAAAGATGCCTGAGTTGTTAGTATTTGAACTGGGGGGAACAAATATTCTATATCTGGCGCTGAGAAGCCATTTTGGATGTAAAAAAAAGAACAGAAGAGTTGAAAAATGTCCATTGAGTGCTGGTGACTCAAAGGACTGAAAAGAATAACTCAGTGAGATTTTGTGTGGATGGGCTGCTGATGGGGACTGATTTTGATGGCACTGTGATGGGAGTTTGTGGGGCCCTCTGGTGTGGACATAATATTCCAGGGAACCTAGGTGTGGGGTTTGCACTCAGCGATTTGCTGTTTTGCTAATGGATTGAAATCTCTCAGAGCCATTATGACTAATCTTGAAGGTTATTTTTATGCATCTGCAAGCTACATGTTTAAAATTCTTCCACAGTTTCTAACAAATGTCAAGTCTGCTGTGAATAATAATAAAAAAACAGGTAAACAAGAACCTAAAATAGCCATGAACTTAATGTGACGTGCTGATGTTATGGGACTTGAATAAAAATATTGTTATTACACCAAGCACTTAATTTGTAAAGAAATAGTGCACTTAAGTCACTTAACAATTTACACATTCTTGCTCATGTGTTTGAACTCTAAGGTTCATGCAGAGGAGATCTCTGGAAACAATGGATATGTTGAGTTTTCCTTCAGTGCCAAGAAGCTTGATGACAAGGTAATGTTATACGCTTCTGCCTCCTGCATTCTAGCAACAAACATCAAAATGTTGTTGGAACTTGTCTGCCTGATGTACTTTCTCTTTCCCCTGAAATTAGCCTGTACATTCATAAAGTATGAAATCATCCATCCACCCATCTATCCATCCATCCATTGATTTTTCCGTAACACTCTATAAAATCTAGGGTCACAGTAAACCTGGAGTCTTTAAAATGAAATATATCTTTTGTTATAAAATGTATACCTTGAGACTGTCCAGGATAAGGGGTTGCAAGATGGATGCACGGACGGATGGACATAAAACATCTAAGGAAAGGTGTCCTCAGACCCTTTATCTTCTTATCTGAGGGATCATTTTGGTTGCAGTTCCTTTGTGAGTTACCTGCGCTCTGCTCCAAACATAAAACAGAGAATTCCATTTGTAGCCACCTGCTTTTAAGTTTCTCTGTGAGACGCTATAATGAGCAGACATCCACATTGCATGCGAGTAACCAGAGCTCCTACATCTCTGATGTAACTACGAGTCTTATGAGAGACACAGTGTGATGGGAGTAACTGTGTGTCGACAGTCTAATTGTCTTACAGAGCTTTCCGTGTGCTAATTAGGTGACTGATCTAAGTAGGTATCTCCGTGTGCTGATGGAATGAATTTCTATGTACTAATCTGGTGATTCTGTGAAAACCAGCTGATTCTGTATGCCAATTCTGTATACCAGTAGCTAATCTAGCTAGGCGACTCAGTGCACTGGCAGAATACCTTCTTGTGTACTAATCAGGTAGCTAACCTAGCTGGTCGACATTTTCCTATATGTGTCCACACAACTCCCGCGTGACTATTGTAGCATGATGAGCAGGTGTGACAGGTGTGTCGACAGCATCACCAATGTGTCTTAGGGAGTTTCTGGAATCAGCTTTGGGTTTGTGTGCCCATCCCGTGGCCACCCATTGTACACAAAGCTCCCCCAACCTACAGCCACACCTGCAGCCATGTTCCATTTCTCACATTTGTCAAGGTCCAAACCGCCCCATTACCCAAAACCACCTTTCACAAACAACAACAAACTTCTCATCTTCTTAGCTGCTGTTCCGGTGTTGGCCCTTTAAATTAACACATCTGATTCAGTACCTTCCAAATAACCCCACAAGGGAGAAATTCCCACCAGAAAAATACACACAACAATATTCCCAGATATACTGTCTGCCTGTAATCAAAATTGCAGTGATTAAATCGGTCCACATGAAAATGGTAGGAATCCACTGGAAATGGAAATGCGGGGCTTTGCAACTGTCAGAGTTATGCTAATGATAGCACTATAATGTGTTTGTGGTTGCCTCTAGTTTCTGTAAAAGGGTTAGAATGCTAAGGAAAAGAATTTATATTTTGAAGGTCATGGAAGATTATATTTTGAAGTGGTATTTTATAAGTCTTCATTGTTGTCTTTTCCTGATGCATAAATGACCTCATTAGTGAACAATGACATAGGCAACCATGTACTTCACGATGCACAAGAGAATTCGACAAGTAGAGACAATGTGAATTAAACAAGGGATTATGATGAGACAAAGATTGTGGTGTTGGTCAATGGTGTGCATTCAGCATGATGGATGATTACTATCCAGGGCTGTGACTAAGTGTTGACAGATCCACATGTAAGTTTATCTGACATGATTTTATAGGGGTTTTTACAGTAACAGCTTCTGCATTTGCCTCTGTGTCTGTGGGGATAGAGATTGTAATAAAAATTATTAAAAAAAAACAGGTTGCAAAAAAAAAAAGGATATTAAATGTGTTCTTCTACAACATCCACACAGATTGTGGAGTACGTGCCCTGGATGGTAAAGAGGTTGAATTAAATTACTAGCCTGAAATTCTTAACTTCTTAAAAGACACTGACATTTTGCATTGACTTCCAGATTAGATTTGTCACAGCAATCAACAAACATTGCAGAGTCAAACTGGCTGTAGACTCATTTAATAGAGCCATTTAATAGAGCAGAAAGATTCATTGTTTTTCTTTCTTAAAAGCTGTTAGAACCTTTAATCTGGTCAGGATGGTCTTGTACATTGCCTCAATTATTCCATTACCCTTCGTCACTGATGACATGTTTTTCTCTTTTGAAGGACCTCTTCAGTAAATCTGACCCATTCCTTGAGATTTATCGTATCAACGATGACAACACAGAGCAGCTGGTGCACAGGACAGAGGTAAGAATGCTCCAGAATGCCAAGAATCAGTCAAGTTCCTCACTTGGTGTAAATTCCCTGTTGCTTACCTGGATTTGATCCAACTTCCAATCCCTGCACTGCAGACTGGCTCCATATTCCATGTTCCCCTTCATACGTGTACACTGCTAGACGTTTGGTACATAGCGCTGTTGTAGGGCTCTTGAGAACCTCGTGTGTCCTTGAATTTCGGCAGGTGATCAAGAACAACCTGAATCCCATATGGGAGCCCTTCAAGGTGTCCCTAAGCTCTCTCTGCAGCTGCGATGAGGACAAGAAGCTGAAGGTGAGCAAGTTTACTAGAAAGCCTGCTGTCTTTGGTTCCCTTAATGAGCTCTCGCCTTGGGCGTTCAGTGACCTCACCCCACTCTCTGTCAACACATCCCTAGCCCAGAAGTAGCCTGCTTCCAAGTATGATGCCAAGCTTTGATTAATAGCTTGCTGGATAATACTAAAAATAACAAGATAAAGATGCTCCACAATGCCTCTGGCTTTTTATATTGAGCTTTTGCAGGTCCCTAGACTCAAGAACTTATTTTCCAACTTATTTTTTAAGATTGTTTTGACTTCGCACCTTCATAATCATGAGTTTCAGTTCAACACCTGTGCTATGTGCGTGGAAACCTAGACATCCTGCTATTTGTCCTTAGTTATTTGTGTGCGATTATATATCTGTATGTTTACCATTCATCTTCCCACCTATGAACCCATCCATCTTCCATACCTTGCTCTTAGTCATACTTAAGTTTTAATACTGACTTTCTTCAGGCACGTAAATAAGATGTTATTTCTGAGTTCAGTGAAAGTATGCACTCAAAGAATGAATGAGATATTTATGAGTAATGGTTTTTTTTTGCATGCCCAAGTGCTTGGTGTGGGACTATGATTCGAGGGGGAAACATGACTTCATCGGGGAATTCTACACCACCTTCAGAGAAATGCAGAAAACGACAGAGGAAGAAAAGGTGGGTAGGGTGAGAGAGAGAGTTCCTGTGTTACATCTATATTGGCCATGCGGTAACGCTTTGCTTAAAGCGCTCATGTGTAATGCATTATAGATAACATCATAATGCATTATAATGCATTCATCAAGTATTATAAACACGGCTAGAACTATTTATAACAAGACATAACATGTTTATCATGCATTATGAATGATCTATGAAGCTAATTTGTAATGCACTATAAATACTTTCATAATGCATTATAATGGGCTATACTGACATGAAGGGATCTATAATGTATTTATATGGACGCTTTAAGTAAAGCCTTACCCAATATGCAATCTCAGTATTTTTTTGTCTTTTTTAGGAAAATGCTTTCTCTTTTGGCATTGTTTGGACAAATTCATGTCCTCTCTTCTGGGGCTGATATGGCTCCATATGCTCTCTTGTCTTCTCTGTGCTCCAAGGTCACATGGGACTGTGTAAACCCAAAGTACAAGAGCAAAAAGAGGAACTATAAAAATTCTGGCTTGGTCATCCTGAATGAACTCAAGGTAAGTGCCATTACTAGGATAAGGCAAGAGCGAAGCGAGGTGGTCCTGGCACACATTTCATCCATTTTGTGTGTTTTATTGTTTATCTGTGCTTTTCAAGCAGCTCTATCTGATGCCCTTTGTGGGAATAGAAATGCCTGCATGGACAGAAGCCTATTATTGCTTTGGATTTGACTGACATGAAAAGGACAGTATGGTGATTTAGGCAGCATACTTGGATTAATCCTCATATATAATCTTTAGCTTTTCATGGCGACACTTGTGATTTCTCTTTCTTTTTTCACTTCATGTTTTTCCAAGAAAAAGTCTTATAAAATACCTCTTACCTAACTGTACCTGTAATTTTTATCAAACTTTTTTTTAGGTTTTGTTTAACTATACCGACGTCTTTGTTCACACTGCAGTTGGACAAGGACCACAATCTTCTCTCTGACACCAAAGCGGCATATGTGTGATAAACATCTCCTTGTCTTTTCTCACCGCTTCCTCCTGGAGCTGCACAGAGTCTACTCCTTCCTGGACTACATCATGGGGGGGTGCCAGATACACTTTACGGTGTGTTGAGCGCCTAGTGTGATGTGGCACAATATTTGCATGCCGCGGCGATTTGGGATTAATGTAAAAGTTTTACACCGATTTATGGTTTCCTGGTTTAGCAAAGGTGCATCACTTTTTTTTTAACTCCCAGATCTGTGGGTAATGTTAAACTTGCTTGCTGCCCAACTAGAACTTCTCTGGAATCACATTTTCATGAGCAGTACCTGCTTTTTGAAAGCCTTATCCCTTTTCATGCTGTCTGTCAGAACCCATTTCCTTTTTAAAACGTTTTTCTTCTCGGATTGAGGACTTCTGTTCCATTGAAGGATATAAATGGTGATGATCATATTTGAGGCTATCTAGACCATTAGATAAAATCAATTCTAATTGCCTCCAGACTCTTTTCGCCACTTTCCCTTGTGTTCCTGCTGCTGTAGAAAATGCATATTTATATATTTCGGGAACATCTAGGAACATCTTGTCTGACACAACTGCCACAAACATCCGATGTCTTTTCTTGTACACCCGAGGCTATAGAATCCCTCCCATGGCAACTGATAACATGAAGATGTTCAGTCGCTGTAGCTCCATCAGGGCAAAAACCAACACGTTGTCCTCCAAATGGTATGATACACGTAGCTATGCAACTTGACCGAAATCACCTCTTGATCCTCTGTCCCTTCTCATTTGTTATAGGTTGCAATAGACTTCACAGCGTCCAATGGGGATCCTCGGAACAGCTGCTCCCTGCATTATATCAACCCATATCAGCCAAACGAGTATCTGAAAGCCTTGATAGCAGTGGGGGAGATCTGCCAAGATTATGACAGGTAGTTATCAGCCATTTGTCTGCGTGTCGATAAATAGATCCTGATATCTGCCATTGAGACCAGTTGCCATTCTTAGTAGGCTGTCTGCCTTTTATCTTAGAATATTTGACTTGTTCTCCTGTGGTGGGAAATGTTCAGCATCTTGTATGTAATGACAGTGATTAGCTGTATCCGGTCAAGGCTAAACGCAAGTGTGCTAACCTGGGTGCGCAAGCATGGTATTGAGTAAGTCATAGCTGGGTGTGTGTTGGTCTCGTTGGACATTAATCACAACACAGTGCTACCCACTGCTGCCTTGGTACTGTATGTGTGCATGGTTGTAGCTTAACAGCTCTCTGGTGGGAGATCCCTGTTGTTCACTTGAGCTAATTATTTGACAGATGTTACAGAGATGTTAGCTATGTAAATAAGCAGATAATGATAGCATCATCCAGGACAGCTTACGCATTTCTCACTGTTTTTGGCTTAGATTGGGACTGTTGCAGACAGTACAGGAAAGATTGATAATAATAATAATCATAATAATTGATAATCATAATAATAGTACAATAGCATAGCTTCTCCTGGGAATGTATCCCACAACCGCCTGGTGCTGAGTCCTTGTCATTATGCAGTATGCTGACCTGGTCTGTCCTGTCCAGAATTGATGTAACGTGGTTAATTATGGCAGCCGTGTTGGGGCTCCCATCCGACCCAGGAAAGTATAACATGCAAGTGGAAAGCTGCAAGGTGTCCTTTCATTAAAGACACCACCATTGTAAAAGGAGAAGAAGTGGACTTGACATATGTCAAGGAGGGATCTAAGGAATGGCTCACAGGAGCCTCCGGCATGGGCTGGATCAGAACCGACACCTCTCATATTGCCCACAGAGGAAACGACACAGCAGTTGGTCTTAGGTTTGCTATTTTCTAGCAATAAGAAATAAAGGACGCCACCCCCCATGACAATAAAATTTTGGGGAGATGGGGGGGATCAATCATGCGATCCAAATTGAAATGTACAGTATTTGGGTTGGGGGACCCTGATCTAGTGTATGTATGAAATAATGAAACAAATTTCATCCCTTATTGGTTCAAAACGGGACACAGCATTTTATCTTTGATATGGGACAATCCTGTAATTTATGGGATGGGTGGTAACTCTAACTGGCCTTCCGTTAGCTAGGGCAAAGCACGGCAACAGCTACGTTTGGCACCGCCTTCACTGTGCCACTTCCCCTGCTACCCGGCCTTGCTCTCTGGGCTGGGTTCCACTCCCAGGCTCGTGCCCTGGGCCCGACCCTCCTGCCACAGCCCGAGCTCTCCGGGGAATGGGTGCCAGGCCCTGTTAGCTGGCACGGGTGAGGAGGCTGGGAGAAGGCTCTATAATTAAACATGGGGGCTGGGGCTTTCGTGCAGCCTGTGGGCACTCAAACCGCGCCAGGGGAGGTACCCGCCCGCACTCCAGCTTTTAACCCCCCCTGCTTGTAGTGGGTTCCTCTCTACCTGCTCATTAAACCTTCTGAGGTGTTGCATTGCTCGCCAAATGCTTCATAAGAACATAAGAACATCAGAAATTTACAAACGAGAGGAGGCCATTCGGCCCATCAAGCTCGTTTGGGGAGAACTTAGCTAATAGCTCAGAGTTGTTAAAATCTTATC